GCTGGCACACCCCTCACAAGCTGCGTGGCCCCGTGGGGACTCCACCGACGGCCTCAGTGGCTGCGTTCGCATGCGCCCACCGCACACATTTTGGCACCCTTCACACGTTTCGTGGCCCCACAAGGAGCTCCTCCGAATGCGGTGCATACAATGACGGCGCTCACAGCTGCATATGGTTGTGCCCTTCGCCATGCTAATCTTTTCATACTTCAACTTTCGTCTGTCTCACACTCGTACTTACACCGTGCTTTGCTGTCGCACTTTTGGCATACTTCGAATATCCCGCGCCCGGTCACCGTTTTGCTTGCCCGGGGCGACGCACGTCTAGAAACCAGCTCCCCCGCGCACGCCCGCCCGACGCCCGCCCGCGCGCCCGCCCATCCTGGGGGATGTGCTGTCGAAGGGGAGATGAGAGCCAACCAAACAAAAGTACGGCGAGGGCATGTGATAAAGAACCCTTGGATAGGGGACTGAGGGTCTGGAAGCCGATTGACCTTCAACTGTAGATTGGCCATGGGCAGCACTGCCGCCCTCACCTCCGGGGTCTGAAGCCTCCTCGGCACGTTCCTTAACTAACGACCCCACCGTAGCGTCGCGATTTGTGCACGCTGCGAGGGGGTCTGGATTTCCCCCTCCCATCAGAAAGAACCCCCGGACCTCTCCAGAGGCACGGTTTGGCCAAGAGTCCCGATGGGAACACAGCCGCGGCGACGAGGAGCCTCCCCAAGGGCCCCACACAACTGCGGAAAACTGGCACGAAAGCCGTGATCCACGACTCTCCACCCTCGACTCCCGACAGAGCTCCAAACAGGCCCCGCACGGGCTGGCGCTCATGCCGCTCATGAGGAGCAGAAAAGTATCGATACCGTTACTCCGCGGACCCCTCCAGGGGCGCGTTCTGACAAGAAATTCGAGAAGAAGATCCACCTGTGGCGACGAGGGCTCTCCCAGACGAGCAGCGGTATCGGCACCTTTCCTAGGAGAAAAAAGCTCGACACCCCCTCCCTGGCGCGCGGAGCGCGCCAGGGGCGGCGCCAGAGGCGCCGTCAGGGGAGGTCCGGGGCCGAGCCGAGAAATCCGCGCAGAGACCTGAAAGTTTATGTATGCCGTCGCATCGTCGACAGAGAGCACAGCCCACCCCCACACCCCCATCCCCAGGACCCCCCCTCCCGACCTGGTGATGCACGAAGCACTGGCTGGGGGGTGGCATCGTCTTGTGGCCCGCGAGGACCCCCAAATGTTGATGTGGACGGGACGACGACGACGACGACGACGACGACGACGACGACGACGACGACGACGACGACGACGACGACGACGACGACGTTGCGACGACGCTACGACGACGACGACGACGACGACGACGACGACGACGACGACGACGACGACGACGACGACGACGACGACGATGCGACGACGCTACCACGAGCTCAGCCCAGCGCCCACGGCCTGGCCGAGCCTGCCGCGAGCACCAGGCCTCTGGGGCGGCTGCCGCGCACGGGCACGGGCGGCCCTGCCGGCGGATCCGCCCTGCCCTGCCCGGAGCGGCCGGGAAGCGCTCCTTAGGCGGCTACCTACCTACCTACCTACCTACCTGCCTACCTCCCAGACCCCCTCGAGTAACGAAGAAATCAGGATGGAAGGTTTTTCTAAATTTTCGGCCTCCGGGGGCCCTCACCGGGCCGCGGGAGTGTCAAAAAACGACTCTGGATGCAAAGCCGGTCACGGGGAAAGGGTCGGGACCTCTGGGGGTCGACGTAATGAAAAAATCATAACGTCGGGGGTCTGGGCTACCTACGCACCTTGCCTACATACCCATCGGTCGGAAGAAGTAGGTAGAAACATAAAGTAGGAAGGCGTTGGAAATAGATTGGGCTTCCGCCCGCCTCCTGAAGAGGAAGGAAGAGGGAAAACCACTCCACTCCTGAAGTAGGAAGGCGCTGAAAGTAGATTGGACTCTGGGAATCCAAAAATACCTACTTTCAACGACCGGTGGGTACCAGACCACCCCAACCGAACCAGAAGACCAGCATTTCGGGTTTGGGGGGGGGTACGGGTTCCAGGTGTGTGCTTCCCTGTTCCCCGACCCTCCCACACTGGAACCGAAGGGCAAATGGAAGCCTTCGGTTTGGGTTGGGGTGGTTTGGTGGGTGGTGGTTAGCTGGCAGCGGGGATCTCTAAGTCCAGCAGCTTTGGAGGACGTCTCGGGCGCCGCGGCCTTCTCAGAGCGTTCTGGAACGCTCTGAGAGCGCTCGGGAACGCTCTGGAACGGATCTATCCTCGTCCCAGCCCCGTCCGAAAGACGCTGGTCTGGGACAGACCTGGGCAGAAGCCCACGGACCTACGAGGAGGAACCATACCGATACCGTTACCCTTTCCTCGTCGCCCCTGCTGGGTTCGTCTCGAAATCATCGTCAGAACGCACCCTTCGGTGGCAACTCGTGGGAGCCTCACATACCATCTTGTTGGCCCTTGAGAATCGACGCTAAGCCGGCGCCAATCGACGCTGACCAATCGACGCTAAATCAGCGCTCTCTTCGAGTACCAAACGCCGATCGACGCAAGCGCACTTTGAAAGCGGAACACGAGGGTATGCACCAGGCTCCCATGATCTGATACCGAGCGCTCCTGCTCGCAAGCTTGCTCTGAGCCGTGGCCTGGCCCGCGTCGGGGCTCTCGAGAAGGTTAGCAAGCAACTCGAAGGCGTTTCTTTATGTTCGGCGATGACGGGCGTCATTGGGGGGGGGGGAGGGCGGGGGGGGTATGACATGACGCCCCCCCCGCCGTGTGGTTCCGGCACCACAGCCGCGCCCGCGCGCACGACGCGACGAGCGACGAGCGACGAGCGACGAGCGACGACGACGACGACGACGACGACGCGAGCAGCATGTAAGTGGCGATCTGCCCATTGCGCCTGTGTACACCACAACGCTCGCGTGCACCACACCGCGCGTGTGCACCACAGCGCCTGCGTACACCGCAACAGCCGTGTGCAACGCACCGCCCGTGTATACCACAATACTTGGGAGCACTACAGCGCCGGTGCACATACACCGCAGCAGCCATGTGCAACACAACGCCTGTGTACACCACAGTGCATGCGTGCACCGCAGCGCCTGTGCACGCCACAGCGCCTGTCTACACCACAGCATCCGCGTGCAACGCAGCGCTGGTGTACACCACAGTGCCTGCGTGCATAGGACAGGTAGAAGGAGCATGTGCGTCAGGATCTGATGCGGACAACTGAACGCCACGCCAGGAAAGTTCTGACAATCGAATGCGAAGTTTTTCCTTCCTCCCTCCTCCTCCACCTCCTCCTCCTCCTCCTCCTCCTCTTCCTCCTCCTCGTCCTCCTTTTCCTCCTTCTTACCCCCTGTCGTGCGGCTTGGCGTTACAACGCACGTGCGCATCTCAGCGTGCACCGCAGAATGGTCGATCGAATCGGTCCCCTTGGTTCTCGGACGGCCAGTTTAGCCGGAGCCTCCTGGACGCAAATGGGAGTTAGGGTGATGCGGGCGGATTCGGGGGGACTCGTAGATTCCAGCGGCGCTCCTTTGTCCATGAGGATTTGTTTTCCATTGTTTTTTCTGGAATCCACACGCGCTCCATTTTGTCAAAAGGATTCCTTCTGAAATTATGTACACAACAATGGTGCTGTGTTGCACACGGCTGATGTGGTGCACACAGGCGCCGTGGCGTACACAGGCACTGCAATGCACGCAGGCATTGTGGTGTACAGTGGTGCTGTCTTGCGCACGGCTGATGTGGTGTACGGAGGCGCTGTGGTGTACACAGGAACTGCTGTGCTCGCAGGCACGGTGGCACAAACTGACGCTGTGTTGCACGCGGCTGCTTTGGTGTACGTCGGAGGTGTGGTGTACACAAGCGCTGTGGTGCACGCGGGCACTGTGATGTACACAGGCGTTGTGGTGCAAATCGCCACCAACATGTTCGTGCTACCCGTCCTCCGTCATTCCTAACCATTCCCTCTCAAGCGCCGCCGGCGCGAAACGTGACGTCACCGACCCCCTCCCCCGCCAGATGATTGCCGTCATCGGCCCGGACTCAAAAACAGGCTCCAGTCGCGTCCGCGCGCACGACGACGATGAGCGACGAGCGACGAACCACGAGCGACGACGACGAACGACGACGACGACGACGACGACGACGACGACGACGACGACGACGCCTGCGGACCAGTCAGACACCTATGCGGATTCCTACGCGGACACCTACGCGGATCCCAACGCGCACGGCGGCAGTGCCCAGAGCGCACTGGGGGGGGGGAACGGTACGTCATAACGGGGGGGGGGAGCGGGGGCCATGACGCCCGTCATGCCCCAAGCAATAAAGAAATGGCCTCCTCCTGGGAGGCCTTCGTGAGAACGATCGAGGGCTGCTGAGCCGGACCAGGGGGCCATGAGGCCTGAGATTATCCCAAAGTAAGCACAAGATTAAGCCCGATAAGTCCGGAGAAAGCGGAATGAAGCGGGATCATGCTGGATTTGGCCTGTCTTCGACCACGGATATACCAGCACCGCTGCTGAGTTTCCACCTCCAAGGATTTGCCTCCTTACCGGGAAAAAAAACTGCACGTACGGCCGCAGAGGACCACGCGCAAGGGCTGACCCCGCGCCAGCCCGCAAGACTCGGAGGACGCCGGCGACGAGGACAGGAGCCTGGGAAAGGGGGTGCTCCGAAAGAGACACGACGACACGACGAGGCCACGACCGAGATCCGCAGAAGTTGCATCGATAAAGACGGGGTGCTCCCTTCTCGGATACTAAAACAGGGCTAGGATCGGGATAAATCGCTCCAGAGCGTTCCGGAGCGCTCTCAGAGCGTTCCGGAACGCTCTGGAGCGGCCGCGGCGCCCAATACATCCTCCAAACCCGCCGATCCTCAGAGATTTAGAGTTAACCCGATCCGATGTTGTCCCGATCTTCGCGTCGTTTTAGATACCTTCGGGTCCCACCAGCGGCGCCCTTTCCCACGAGAACCACATGAGCGCCGTGTGCGTCAGCACCACCCGCCTGGAGCGGTCCCGCGTCGGCCTCCGCATGGCCGACGCAATTTCGGGCGTGTTCGTGTGGGTCATGAAAGCGAAACAGGCCATGGACAGCGCCTTGCTGCCATCTTTTCTTCGCTGGCATACGAAAGCCAATTTATAACGCATAGTAAGAAGCGTTTATATTTATATATATATATATATATATATATATATTATATATATATATATATATATATATATATATATATATATATATATATATATATATATATATGTTTATATATATGTATACATATATATATATATATATATAAATTAACGACCCGTTATTGCAAAAAAACAACAAAAACAAAAAACAAACAAACAAAAAAGAGCTGGAGGAAACCCGCGCGGAATTGGAATCATTGGAAAATAAAAGGCATGGCTGGCGATGGCGCTGGCATACGAAAGCCCACTTCTAACACACAGCAAGAATAGACAAGCGGAACGGGTTCAGCACCGTTGGAAACGTTGCAAAACTACCGGCTGTTGCAACACTGAGCTGGAGGAAACCCACGCGGAACTTGAATCATTGGAAAATCGGAGTTGAGGGGGTGAGATCGAAGTGGAACGGAGAGCCCCCCTACCGGGAAATCGGTTTCGGTTTCGTGTTCGTGCGTGTCGTGCGTGCGGGCGAGGCGAAGCTGCCTGGGCGGGCGAAAAGAAAGTCTCCTCCGGCTGAGGCGCGGCCGGACCAAATAATTCCTTTCCGGGGGCCGGTGGCCCGCGGTGTCCTGCCTCCGGCTGAGGAGCGGCCAGACCAAATAATTCCTTTCCGGGGGCCGGTGGCCCGCGGTGTCCCGCCGGTGTCCCGCCGGTGTCCCGTCGGTGTCCCGACGATGATGATGATGATAATGATGATGATGATGATGATGATGATGATGATGATGCGTTGCGTTGCGTTGCGTAGGCGTCATACAGGGGTGCCTCCTGGGCCCGACGCCGCTCACAGAAGCTTAAAGGGTAGCAGCGTCGAGAATTATCTTAAAGATTTCCGCCATTCAAGCCACGTCTTCTGTCCCTCTCTCCAAGACAGCCCTGAGACGGGCTTCAGAAGCCAGTGGTCCCCATAAAACTTATAGAAGTCACGCTCCCAACGCCGGATCCCGACTGTACGGTGATGCAACTGGGAGCCCTGCCATCTAGTCATTTCTATCATCCATGCCCTATCGTGATACCGAAGGACGCGGTACGTGATCCTCTCAGGACAGGCTCTACCCAGAGACTGCAAGAAACCTCCCCAGTTGTGCTGCATCCTTCTGCAGGTCTGGGGCCACGATTCTACATTGCATCTAGCTCTGACATCAGCAACGCAACGCATGGCGGTCTCAATATATTCAGCTGCGGATTCTCCGCGTGGCGGACGGATCATACGTCTAAGCATGGTATTGTGACATTTAGAGATCCTACTCATGGTAGAGACAGTAATATGTAGACTCCCTATGCAATAGGTCAGGGCTGGGCGAACACAACGGTCCAGGGCCTTCAATCTTTTCTGAAGGCTTATCTTTCGGTTGGTCAGCATTGCACGGTGAACGGCCCAAGTGCGCCACACGCGCGCTGACTTATGTTGCAGACCTCGTGTGTGCAGCTGCGATCGAAGGCAACAAAAGTCCCGAGCACTTTCAAGCCTTCGGCTCTGGCTCTGCAGGGGATGCACGTGCCACGGACGCGAAGCGTGCCGATATGTGACGGATACGTGTGGCACCACTCCATTTCCTGCACAGGGACCTCTAGACCACTACGCTCAAGGATTCGAAGCCAAGCTTCAGTCATCATCGCGGCCATCGAGACCGATCTCGCTAAGATCCAAAAATTATCGGCGAAACTCAAGACACCTAAAACCTCATCCTCCTCTCCAGGGGTGGTCAAACAGACCCCAGCCATTTTTACTGCAGAGGTCGTGGAAAGCGAAAAGACACTGGTCGAGAAAAACATCGCTGAGCTCGGGCGCCGCAGGGCCCCCCTGGATGAGAGACTTCCCACGCCGAATCCGGTCCGCGAGGGCATTCCCAGGGAGGCGAACTCTGGCCTGAGAGCGGCGAGTTTCACGGATCCAAAACGAGATAGCTACGCGTGCGACCCCGTGACTGTCGAGGCGACGGGCCAGAGCGGCGTGCTCAATAAAATCATAAAACTTCCTAATGTCTCCGCCCACGACGACGAGTGGGGGGTCCTTATACTCGCAGAACTTCTCAACTAAGTGGCGCAAGCTATATATGACTTCGCGGGCCTGGTAACCTCTACGAAAAAGCGAACTGGCTCTCACAGCGACACGATTCGATCACTCCTCGCTGCGTTTCCATCACCATCATGCTCAGTATCTTCTGCAACACCGAAATCAGGGATATCGGGCGAAACTGACTGATCTTTCGGGCATCTGGCACTTTTCGGATGAGCTGAACCACGTGGCCACTCCAGGCCGTGTCGAAATATTCCGAAGTGTGATTCCTGAGCCGCAGTCTGAAGGCCTGCAGCAGGTGCTCTAAGACGTCCGTCTCCAGCCCCTGGAGCATTTCGCCCACGATCATGTCAGTCTCGTCGCAGGACTTGCAGCTCTTGAGGCGGCCGATGCACATGCGGAGAAGCGGGAGGCTCAAAGGCACGGACTGTTGTTGCTCCTCGGCTGACCACTGCTGGTGGATCCAATCTGGCAGCTGTCGGTCACTGGTCGCGTCCTGGAACAGTTGAGTGTAGAAAGTATGAGCCTCCTGCAGTCTCTCGGCACTGGTGGTAGCCTGGCCGCCATCCATCTTGTCAAGGCAGTGCACTGGGCGCTCCGTCTTGTAGGCCTTCTCGGCCCGACCTCGCTCGCACAGACGGGACAGATGCTCAGTGGAACATCGGTCTCTCATAGCCCGCTTCAGCTTGCAGACCGCGGGCCCCATGAGGTGTCTCACTATCGGGTCCTCCTCCGCGGCTCGCGCGCGCTCCAAGGCCTGCAGCTGGAGCAGCTGGGCGTCGCCTGGCGGCGGCCGCCACCGGCCTCGGCGTGGGGCGTGGCCAGCCTTCGCGGCGGCCGCGCAGATGGCGGCTGACAGGAGGCCCAGCGAGGCGATGCCCTGGCGCGTGCTGGAGGCAGTCGCCGTAGGCGCTGTCGGGTGAAGACCCAGCGCGACCCCCGCGTCCTCACTGGGGATGTCGGCCTGGCGTCGCTTCCGCTCCGCACGGCAGGCTGCGTGGTGGGCAGCGCAGGTGTCCTGGTAGCCAGCAGAGTCCCAGTCAGGTGTCGGATATGGCCGTCTCCAGTGGCTGTCGCTGTAACGCTGGTCACTGCCATTCTTAGCGAGGTAGTCTGCCTGCTCGTTACCCGTGTTCCCGTTGTGGCTCTTCACCCATCTGATGATCATGTCATAAGCGGTCTGGCAGCGCTGCCACAGGTGGGTGGCCAGGGTCGCAAGCTCAAAGTTCTCCTTCGGCTGGAAGACACCCTGCAGCAGGTTGCGCACGTACGTGGAACCGGTGCTGACGATGATGCGGGCGCCGCCCCGCACTAGTGGCTGAGCGAGTAAACGCTGTCCGAGTAGCCAGAGCAGCGCCTCAACGATGGCCGTCAGCTCACCCGTGTTCGCCGATAAACATGTCGCGCCCACATATCGAGGGTCCTGCACGTCAGTGGTGACCTGACCACAGGCCTCCAAAAGACTGGTATCCTGGTCATTCGGCTCGGCTACGTGATAGAGTGCGAAGCCCCAGCCAGCCGCATGGCACCGATGACGTCGCTGTCGATCTCGTCCACGCCGAGCAGAGCCGTCAGTAAAGATCCCCATAGCGTTCGTCATGTCCCCCTCAGTGTACATCGCGGTCTCTGGCGGGGTGTAGCTGATCTCCAGGGACGTGCAGATGGTGGAGTTGAACAGCTCGGGGTCCTCGACCTGCCAGCCCACGGGCTTCCGTGGTGGTCGCTCAACGGTCTCCATCGGTGTCAGCTCGGCGTGGCCATCGATCGTGGGAACGCCTTGGCCAGCGTGGCAGCGCAGGAGGAGCGGCAGGTGCTCGCTCGAAGAGGCGTCGGTGAAGCGGGCCTGGCAGTGCGTCCGCGGCAACCAGTCGCGGTGGATCAACATGAAGTCGATCTGCCGAGGCTCCTTGCGATTGTCAAAGAAACAGGTGGCCTGGCCCCACTGTCCACGGGAATAGGTATTAGCAGCTATCAGATCGAACTCGGTCATAAGGTCGCGAAGCATCTCGCCTCGCCAGGTCATCTCGGAAGTAGAGAAAGGGCCCACAGTGTCTCCGTCAGGAATCCCTAGGCCGTCCTGGGCATCGATGCTGACAATGGCGTGGCAATCAATCGGCATGGTAATCAAGCATTCTCGTAACTGCTGGACGGTCTCAGCGCACTCACATCGAACGATATGCGAAAACAGGTGGCTAGTGACAGCCCGCACTCGACCCCAGATAGGCAACTGTAAGTCCAGGGCCATGGTGCGACCGTGGAACTGCGGCTCGCCAATGATCGAGGGCGCCAGTGAGTTGGCCACCGCTATCGCACACCTCTGCCAAGCCCCCGATGGAGGCGACACGTGCACAACATAGCCGCCATAAGTCTGCTGGGCTCCACCAGCAACGCACCATTCTTGAAAAAGGATCAGACTAGCATCGGATTCGTCGGTCAGCGACTCGAGCACGGCACGGCGCCGCTTCGCAAGGACACCTCTCGCATTCCACCCAAGAACTGTGAGGTCCCTGATGTCCTTGACGTAGCGCCTGCCCCGTACTCGAAATCACTGGAGCCTCGGAGGGTCGTTGATCTCGCTCAGCCGCTCGTGCAGCTTGAGATCCTTGAGCTCCTGGTCCAGAGCAGCCGCTGCCAGGGCGTCGGTGCTGACCTCGAGCATGTCTGACGTCCTGGAGCGCTGCAGCAGGCGAACTGGCCTCTCCGTACTGTTCTTGCGGAAGACCACCTGTCCGCGGCCCCAATCGCCGTCGAAAGTCCGCTGCTTCGACTCCTCCGTGCACAACCCCGACTGGATGCCGAACTCGCGCAGGATCCTCACCGCGCAGCTGACCCGCCGCGAGAGCTCCACCTCGTGGGGCTCCTGGTCAACCTTGTGCCACAGCTTGTCGTTGCGCGCTCCAGGGCATGGGATCTTATGGCCCTTCCAGCGCTTCATGAAACCCCACATCTTTTGATTGTTCGCGAAGACCACTTTGGCCTGGTCGCAGAACCTCCTCACACCGTAGATCTCCGTGATCCTTTTGCGCCTCTAGGGAGATCGTCCTGGCGAGCTCCGTACGCAAGTGCTTCTCAACCTCATCCTTACCCCACGTGCCTGGGAAGCCCGCGACGAACACCATGTGCTTGCAGTTCTTCCCCCCTCGCGGCCGTGACGTCGGCGGTGGCATCCCGCCAGCACGCTGCTGATCCAGGTACGCACCCCACGGATCAGGCTGGCCGCTCACGTGGGAGGCAGATCCCAAACCCGCTCTCGGTCCGACCGAACTCGCAGAAGAGCATCGACTGGTTGAGGGCCCCGATGATATACTGCGCCAGCCCTAGCTGTGCTGGGTCCGTAGGAGGGCTCGGGGCGACCTGCGGCACGACGGCCTGGGCGGGCGCAGCACGCTGGACCTCGACGGGGGCGATGTCATCGTCAGTGTCCCGATCCTCCATCGCGACCTCACCTGTGGTCAGACCCGTCTTGCGCCGCTGATCTCGCTCCCAGGCCTGGCCAGGTGCGTCGGCGACCGCGCCAGCAGGCAGCACGGGCGGCGGGGCATTCACGAAAGCCATCCAGGATCGCTGCAAAATGCGCGCGAGGACGTCTCAAACTCGAGAGTGGCCAGGAACTCCTGTCTCAGATCCAGGCGGGGCCGCCTGGACGGACGTGCGATCTCCAGAGCTGCCTGGGTGCCGTCTTGAGCCAAAATGATGACGATGATGATGATGATGATGACGTCGATCATGTTGATGATGATGATGATGATGAAGATGATGATGATGATGATGGTGATGGTAATCATGATGATGGTGTCCCGATGATGATGATGATGATGATGATGATGATGATGTTGACGATGTTGGTGATGATGATGTTGGTGATGGTGATGATGATGGTGTCCCGATGATGATGTCGATGATGATGATGTTGGTGATGATGATGGTGTCCAGATGGTGATGATGATGTTGCTGTCCTCTTTGGCATCGTGGTCGTTTCCGTTGTCGTTGTCGCCGTGGTCGTTCTTCCTCCCCCTCCCTCGTCGTCGTCGTCGTCCGTCGTCGGCGTCTCGTCGTCGTCCCTCCTATTTCGTCGCCGTCGTCGTCGTCGTCGTCGTCGTCGTCGTCGTCGTCTTCCCTCCTCCCTCGTCGTTGCCGTCGTCGGCATCGCCGTCCTTCCTCCTTCTTCGTCGTTCGCGTCGTCGCCGTCCTCCCTCCTCCCTCGTCGTTGTCGTCGTTATCATCGTTGTCGCCGTCGTCGTCCTTCCTCCTCCCTCGTCGTCTTCGTTGGCGACGTCGTCGTAGTCTTCGTCGTCGTCGCCGTCGTCGTCGTCGTTGTCGTCTTCGTCGTCGTCGACGTCGGCGTCGTTGTCGTCTTCGTCGTCGTCGACGTCGGCGTCGTCGTCGTCGACGCCGTCGTCGTCGTCGTCGGCGTCGTTGACGTCGTCGTCGTCGTCGGTGTCGTCGTCATCGTCGTCGTCGTTGTCGTCGTTATCATCGTTGTCGCCGTCGTCGTCCTTCCTCCTCCCTCGTCGTCTTCGTTGGCGACGTCGTCGTAGTCTTCGTCGTCGTCGTCGGCGTCGGCGTCGTTGTCGTCTTCGTCGTCGTCGACGTCGGCGTCGTCGTCGTCGACGCCGTCGTCGTCGTCGTTGTCGTCGGCGTCGTTGACGTCGTCGTCGTCGTCGTCGGTGTCGTCGTCATCGTCGTCGTCGGCGTCGAAATCGTCGTCGTCGTTGTCATCGTCGTCGTCGTCGTCGGCGTCGGCGTCGTCGTCGTCGTGTCGGTGTCGTCGTCGTCGACGCCGTCGGCGTCGTCGAAGTCGTTGGAGACGTCGTCGGTGTCGTCGTAGTCGTTGTCGTCGTCGTCGTTGTCGCTGTCGTCGTCGGCGTCGCTGTTGTTGCCAAGTGCCATTTGGTACCCACCGTCACGGTCTTAAGAGATTTTGCAAACCAAGTTGCGGGTGGGTGGGTGGGATGTTTGCGCGAGCAGTGGAGTGGACAACTCACTGCGAACAGAAATTACTAAAAACAGAATAGACTCTACCCCCCCCCGGCATTATCGGTCCCCCTTTTCGGGCATGTAAATCATATATGATTATGACCACATGTCCATCCTAAATGTGAAATCACAATGTCAAATGCCAACCAGTATCCCCTCCCCTGAGGGTCCATTGTAAAAAACACTATGCGGTGACATGTGTTGTTCTCACATAACACTTTGTCGCGAATCCCTTGCAAAAAACGTGACGGAGTGCACACGCGCGCGTCGTCGCGCGCGCATGCCGAAATCCTTAAAAGACCTTCGGTGCAAGGATTTCGCAATCGAGCTTCCAAAAAACATACAAAAACACAAGGTTTCGCAACACTGATTTGCTAAAAAAGCTTCCGCGCGAGCTCTTGCGAATCTTAAGAAACCATAGGTTTTTCAAGATTTCCAAAAAATGCTACCAAACGGGCGTCGCGCGCGCGCATGTCGAAATCAGTCGAACGCCCTTGCGCGTGTGCCGTCGCGAGAATCCTCTGCAAAAAACAGGACGAAGTGCAGACGCGCGCGTCGTCGCGGGCGTACGCCGAAAACCTTCAAAACCCATCGGTTTCGGAAGGATTTCCAGATCGTGTCAAAAAAAAACCTACAAAAACCCAAGGTTTCGCAACACGGATTTTCAACAAAAGCGTGCGCGCGCGCTCTTGCGTCGTCGTCGTCGTCGTCGCCGTCCTCCCTCCTCCCGCGTCGTCGTCGTCGTCGTCGTACGTCGTCCTCTGTCTTTCCTCGTGTTCGTCGTCGTCGTCCTCTTTGGCGTCGTGGTCGTTTCCGTCGTCGTTGTCGCCGTGGTCGTCCTTCCTCCTCCTCCCTCGTCGTCGTCGTCGTCCGTCGTCGGCGTCTCGTCGTCGTCCCTCCTATTTCGTCGCCGTCGTCGTCGTCGTCGTGTGTCGTCGTCGTCTTCCCTCCTCCCTCGTCGTTGTCGTCGTCGGCGTCGCCGTCCTTCCTCCTTCTTCGTCGTTCGCGTCGTCGCCGTCCTCCCTCCTCCCTTGTCGTTGTCGTCGTTGTCGTCGTTGTCGCCGGCGTCCTCCTTCCTCCTCCCCCGTCGTCGCCTTCGTTGGCGTCGTCGTCGTCTTCGTCGTCGTCGGCGTCGGCGTCGTTGTCGTCGTCGAAGTCGTCGGAGACGTCGTCGGTGTCGTCGTAGTCGTTGTCGTCGGTGTCGTCGTAGTCGGTCTTAAGAGGTTTTGCAAACCAAGTTGCGGGTGGGTGAGTGGGATGTTTGCGCGAGCAGTGGAGATGATGACTTCAAGTTCTGCAGAGTGGGTTGCACCGCATAGATCGCACCACATAGATCGCACCACATAGACTGCACAACATAGATCACACCGCATAGATTGCACAACCTAGGTTGCACAACATAGCCTGTACCACATATATTGCACCACGTAAACTGCACCGCAGATGTGGCACCACCTAGATTACGCCACATGTCTTGCTCCACGTAGATGGCCCAATCTAGGTTGACCCACCTAGGTTGCACAACATTTATCGCACAACCTATATTACGAAACCTAGATGGCACATCATATATCGATCGCACCGCACAAGTTGCACCACATATATTGCACCGCAGATGTTGTATCACATCGATTGCACCACGTTTACTGCTGCACATAGATTGCACAACATCGGTTGCTGGAAACACACTGTCTGGGGTCCACGCTGGCTAACATGCATCGCTAGACACACTCAGTGTGAGGTTCACGCTGGCGAACACTAACTTACCTGCACATCACATGTGGATGCCACATGCCTGCATACGGGCGGATGACCCAATCCTATGCATCTGCGTGTAGCGCAGGGCGTCTCCGTCCCTCAGATACCACGCGCCGCACGAAGTAGTTACAACCAGCTCTAATGCAGACTCAGACTTGTACGACGTTTCGGTGGAGGTCGGGGCAGGATTGAGTTGGATGGGCCATGGCTCAGCTGAGAGATGTGTGGAGTCCAAGTCCCTGTGAGCACGGAGCGTATGAGGAGTGTGCAGAAAATGAGCGTGTGGCGGCATGCGCGCGGGCCGAAGGAGGGCGTAGGTGGTGCTCCCTGTGGGGGCGTGAAGCGTGTGCGGATTGTGGCGGTATTGGCGCGTCGCGGCGTACGCGCGCGCGCCCACTGAGTGCGTAGACAAAGCTCCCTGTACTAGCGAGGCGGAGAAACAACGATGCCTGGGAGCTGTCCAGCGTGAGGTTAACCTTGGTCACCGCCTCGCCCAGGGACTGCTCCTGGAGGGAAAAGTACGAGGGAGCCCTGAGCACCACGACGACGGTAGTGAAGCAAATGGTCGCAAGACTGCAAGTGCTGACGTAGCGGAGGGCTGACAGGCCTTTCAGGCAGCTGAGCGGCCAGACGATCGCCACGGTAGCCTTCAGCACCGCGCCTCGGTCTGTGCACCAAGCGTCCTCGCCAGCCAGTGCGCACACCTGATCCAGGGGTTCTCTAAACGGTTGGCGTTCCAGACGGCAAGATTCCCCTCCGATTCCGCAGGCGAAGACCACGCTTCCAGCCAGTCTTTCTACGCTTCGAAAGAACATTACAATGCAACTTCGAAAGAGTTTGTCGGCTGTTCCAGGAGGCCTCTAAGGCCTGCGCGGCATTCGAGGCGTTCCCGGAGGATCATCAGGGACCCAGACAGTCTGTCTGCGCGGCGCTACCCTCTGCTTGGCTGAAGACTCTTGGCTGACGCTCCAACCATGTTAACCGATGCTCTCTGGCTCACGCGCTTAAGGTTGACTTGACACGCAATCACTGCTATGTGGGGAGACTGGGCAACTCGAGAAACAGGCCGTTATCTTCTGCAGCAGGCGGCCTGCGAAAGAAATGTGGTGCTCGCCGAACGAGGGACAAGACGAAAGGCTTCCGAACCCAAAAGAGATCGTCCGAAGGACAGAACCAAACCCAAGATTCGGTTGCAACTCATGGGAGCCTCCAATGCCATATTGTTGGCTCTTGCGGTTCGATGTTAGCCGACGCTAATCGACACTAATCGTCGCTGAATCGACGCTAACCGAGGCGAAACCTGCGCTAGATCATCGACTGCCAGACGCTAGCCGACGCGAGTGCGCCCTGAAGACGGAATTACGAGGGTATACGAGGCTCCCATGACTTGCTACCAACCCCAAAGCACGTTCGAATTTAGGCTTGGAAACTTCGTCTTGCAGTGGTGCTGCACGGATGCGTTTGAGCGCGGCGCCCCGACCTGTGGTACGTAGTCCATGATGAATACCAAATATGTGGACACTGCCGCCAGCCCTTCGAGCGTAACGAAAAAGTCAAGCACCGTTGCACCGCGGCTGCCGAGTATGCCCGTCATGAGCTCCCCGTAGGAGGACAGGCCAGTGTCCTGCAGCGGGCGTCTGGTTGAGGGCACACCTTGTCTGCAGAGAGGGGGCATCGGACAGAACAGGGAGGGCGGGGGAGGCACAAACCCAAACATAAACAAAACCCCGGGTGCCCACGGACGCCAGACTTCCACTGGCGCTGGACCCCCTTCCCGCACGCTGAAGGCGCTGCCGATGTAGTTCTCTCCCGCCGCCCTAAGCTCCGCGTCAAGGCATCGGGGGCCGCGGGGATCGAGCGCCGCTACTCGCATCTTGGACATCTTAGCGGGCGAAGAGCGAAAGCAGATAAACGGTTCCGCGATCGGGGACGCCTGCCCCAGGGCGGCTGGAGAGGTTACACTCCCACCTGTCACCGTCGGGGTGTAAACTGTCCAGCCGCCCTGTGACAGGCGTCCCCATTGGCGGACAAGCTTACGTTATACCGATCCTCGTCCGCGAAACATCGAGACACCTCATCATATAGTAGTATCACTATTCTGGGACTCTGGTCGGCGGGGTATGTGGAAGGAGGAAGAGCGCCAGCCGCATGAGGAAGGAAGAAGAGGAGGGAATAGGAGAGGGAGGGGAAGGAGGCAGAGGAGGGGGCGACGTCGAACTCGGCTCGCGCGCAGGTTGCGCCGCTCGGCTAGAGCCTGGTCGAACGCAGAAGGGCAGTATGTGCGCGAGGGCCCGATGTCTCGACGTCGGCACTGTTCGCAGAGGCTCAAGCTTCGTCTTTCCCCACGGCAGCCACATCTGCGCAACATCTGGGTGACGACGGTGGGTCCAGAAACCGTGACCCGCGGGCAGAATACTCCGCAGACGCGCGGCGAGTGCCGCACGTCGTATGCACACCGCCCGAAGCGGCGACAGCGAGGAGCACGACGTCTTGAGACCCCTGCGGGGCCCCAGACCCGATCGAAGTCGACGCATTGACGCAAAACGCCGCCTGCAGCATGCCAAAACTCTCGAGGCCGGGCGGAAGTTCGGCCCGCGCCCAACGTGCAAACCCTTGACGCGGCACAGAAGTGGGCGTCGAATTCCCCCGATCGCGTCGCAGCAGAGAAGCGCTTCTGCTGCGCTACCATGATCAATGGAGCCGTTCAACCCGACTGCGATTCGAGGACGTCCGAGAGAGGGGCGTCCAAGAGGGGTGTTCGCAAATCATGGCCGGAGGCATGTGCGCAGACGAAGGGGAGAGCAGGGGACGTGTTGAACGAAGAAGAGGGGGCCATGACTTCCAGGGAGATGTCGTGGCCCAGGCCATGATATCCCCCACCTGTCCACTTGGCCGGCCCTGGTTGATGCAGTACGGAATGGACTCTGCGACGCTGCCAGGGCAAACGGCGCCCAACTTGCTTGCCCGACTCGTTCCCCGTGCGCCGCGCTCACCCGAACCGAAAGAGGCCGCCGCGCCTCTCTCGCTCGCAGGCCTCGCACCCTCGCCCAACCAACCCCCTTCTCAAGGAGGAGTAGGAGGAGGAGGAGGAGGAGGAAGAGGAGGAGGAGGAGGACGACGACGAGGACCGTTCCTTCCCGGCCCCCCTCCCAGGCCCAGGCGTTCACCCCGTTCACGGGAGGATCCGGCACGCCGCAGCAGCACCCGCAAGCCTCTGCACCAGGGGGGGGGCCCCGGGGGAGCTGGGCAAGGAGGCCTGGGCAGCTCGCCGCCGAGCCCCAGAGACACTCCTCCCCTTCGGTGGCAGCTCATGCGAGCCTCCCATACCGTCCTGTTGGCCCTTGCGAGTCAACACTAATCTACGCTAGATCGACGCTCATCGACGCTAGTCGACGTCACTGTACTCTAAAGACGGAATTGCGAGGGTATACAAGCCTCCCATGATTCGTTATCGAACCTCCCCCTCTCTGCTCCGCATCTGTAGAGACCTCGGACGGTCCTGCGCGCACTGGAAGATGATCATGTTTGAGACGCAGGCCGCCGCGCCAGCTACAGCGAAGAGCACTGCTGCGGGGAGGACGCCGATGGTGCTCACGCCGTACGGCAGCGCCAACACCCCCGCGCCGATGGCCGCGGAGCAGAGCAGCGTCACGCTGGCACCCATGGAGCCCTCGGAAAAGACGCCTTCCGACTGCGCGGCCCTGTCATTCCCCCTCTTCTTCAGGAGGGGCTCCGTGAGCCTCCCCTCCATGCCGCCAGCTCAAGAAAGCACTCGGGGGGCCGCCCTTGAAGAAACAAGGCCCGAGCCAAAACGGCTACAGGACAACCACCGTTCCCACCATTCCCGTTCCCCTCCCCTGCCCATCGCAGCATCCATGCCCTACCCGTTGGGAATGTGCATCTCCTGTGATCGATGCGCTTGGCCTTTGGGAGTGACAACGAACGAACGTACGGATGCATGGCAACACGTGGAACTAAGAGACATCTATATATATATATATACACACGGGAAGACGTGGCACCCACAGATGGTCCGTACCAAACAAGTGGAAGCCGTGGAATAGACCAAAGGCCAACGCAAGCACGCAATGGAAAGCGACATTGTGGAGCCAGCAATGGCCACTACAGCATACGAAACTTATGGGCCACCCGCCGACAAACGAAATGGAATACGATACTCATGTGTGACCAGCATAAACGCGAGCGTGCCAACAAAAACTACGAAAAAGCTGTATGATCGGCAGCAAACGCAGCACCATCGGACACTTGAAAAAGCTCCACGCTTCATCAGGAGGGCGCGCCAATGGTCCACCCAGAATTCTGAGGGACCTCCCACCCTTTCCCCCTATCATTTCCCACTTCGCCGTCCTTCCCCGTCCGAACCACCATCCCAGCCCCCCCCCCACCCTTCTTCAAATGGGGGGGGGAACCCCGCGCTGCCCCCCTTCGGAGCTCAAATGAAAAGCCCCCCCTCCAAATCTTGTCCCTCGCACACCACCCATAGCATCCTAACCCTAACGCGCTAACCCCAACACCATAACACGTGAGACCCGAACACCTTGACACCATAACACTAACACACCATCAAATGAGACCCTAACACCTTACACCGAACATCCTGATACCCTCATCCTGATATTCGAACCCTGACTCTTAGCACCCCAACCCGAAACACCCTGAGCCTAACATCCTAGCCTTGCCACTGACACGCCAGCCCCCTAACCCTGACCCGATCACCTCAACCATAAGCCCTGAATCTAGCCCTGACACCCTAACCCTAAGCCGAATCACCCTGACCAGAACCACCTGACCCTCTACTTCAGTAGCCCAAACCACGACCACGTTAGCATCCGAGCAATAGCCCTAATCCACTCACACCCTGGCCCTTCCTCCAGAACCGTAACACCCGAATCCTAAACCTAAGAAACCTACCCCTAACCCTAACACCCTAACTCTGTATCCCTAATCCAGAACCCTAACGCTAAACACCCTGACGCCCGAACCCTGGCATACTTGCCCCGACCGTAGGCACCAATCTCGAACGCCCTGACCCTGACAACCTAACCCGACGCACTGTAACCCTGACACCCAAACCTTAATCCTAGCACATCAGCACCCGAATCCTAGCATCATGGTCCTAACACCCTGACCCTAAGCACCCTAGCCCGAACACCCGAAGCCGAACACCACACAAGCCCTAGCACCCGAACCCAAGCCTTAACACCCGTACCCTAACACCGAAACCCAAATCCCTAGCCCGAAGCATCCTAATCCTGACAGACGAATGCCCAAACTCTAACCCCAACACGCGAAGACCCTAACACTAGCACCCTAACCCGAACACCCTTTGCCTTAACGCACCAGACTGAAGCCTGACATACTAGCACAGTAACCCTAACGCTACCACCCTGAGAGTCGAACCATACCTCGAACGCCCTAACCCTATGCACCTACCCCTAGCCCTCAATCTAAGCACCCTCGACCCTGAAATCCCGAAACCGAATACCCGAACCCCCAACGCTCCGCCCCTGACACCCTATCCGTAACAATCTAACCCAAACCCTAGCCCTAACACCCTAACTCTGACACTCCGTCTTATGCGCTGGAGCGCGCCTCGTCCCACTTGTCTGCTGCGAAAGAGAAGAGGCTGCGGCGGTAGAACCCCACCCCCCTCTCGGGCGCAAAGGGGAGGAGGAGGGTCCGGCAACCACCCGCCCGCTTCTCTGGCGCAGAGGGGTGGAGGGGCGGGGTCTACCCTCTACCCCCTTTGCAAGAGAGAGGAAAGGAGGAGGGATAAAAAAAAACCCGTTGAAGGGGGAAGGAGCGGGGATGAACACACACACACACACACACACAAACACACACACACACACACACACACGCACACACATACACCCAGACCCACTTCAAGAAGACAGGGTGAACCACGTGCGCTCTTTCCATCATAAGGCACACAACGCAGATCTCGCCTCGGGAACAGCAGTGCGTCCTTCGACAGAAACTGGAAGTCTCGAAGACAACATGCATACAGGGAAAACTGCGAGTGATTGGACAAATCAACAAAAAGCGTACCAGCTGCAAGTGCCACGAAACAGAACCAGCCTGCGGTTAATACCCTCATAAACATCAAAAACGAAAGACCGCGAAAAGGCACATACAAAAATGCACACTGAAATGTATACGCACACCACAACCTTCCCCGTGGCGAGAGGCATTCACACGGGCCATCTTGATTTGATTCCAAAGCGTTCACTGCCGCATCCATGCCGCCAGCACGAAGTGGAGTGCAGCAAGGCTCGCAACAGTTACAAGGATCACAAGATTCCTGGAAGAGGCCCCGAGTCCCAGCTTCACGGAATCAAAGACAGGCCAATGGGGTTACAGGAGGGCCGAATGAGTGTACAAGAGGCCGGGGAGGCCCAATAGCGCTCCGAGACGACCCAAGATGGTCTCAAGATGGTCCCAGGAGGCCCCCAAAGCAAAAATCCTTGAACTCCGTAGAGTATTTGAGGGATGTTAGAATTCTCGCTTTTTCAACCACCCATCGCTCCAAGACGGTCCAAGAGGGCCCCAAGATGGCCTCGATGCGATCCAAGAGGCCACAGAGAGGCCCAAGAGGGCCCCCAGGAGGGCCCCCAGGAGGGCCTCAAAAGGGAGAACACGAACTGGCATTTCAAGCCCTCCGCCCCAAGATGACACCCAAGGCCGCCAGCAGGACAACAAAAGGCCCCCAAGAGGCTCCCAAGAGGCCCCCAACAGGCCCCCAGGAGGCCCCCAGAGTCACCACGCGGCCCCCAAAAGGCCCCCAAGTGCCCTTCAGAGGTCCCCAAAAGGCACCCCAAGAGACTCTTCTGTGCATCCAATTCCCCTGCGTCGCACCCAACCCTTTCTACACAAGTGGCAATTGCATTCAAGACCATTCAATACCAAAGGACATTTCGGCGCCATGGTATAGTGGTGGTCTGCGTAGGACGTACCTCCGCTGAGCCTCCCAGAAGCCCATGCGCGCCAGGCGCGCCAGGTGCGCCAGGTGCGCCAGGTGCGCCAGGTGCGCGAGGTGCGCCAGGTGCGCCAGGTGCGCCAGGTGCGCCACGTGCGCCAGGTGCGCCAGGTGCGCCAGGCGCGCCAGGCGCGCGTGGTGCGCTAGATGCGCCAGGCGCGCCAAGTGCGCCAAGTGTGCGCCATGTGCGCGCCAGGTGTGCGCCCAGCGCGTCAGGTGCGCAAGGTGCGCGCCAGGTGCGCGCCAGGTGTGCCAGGTGCGCCAGCTGCGCCAGGTACGCCAGGTGCGCCAGGTGCGCCAGGCGCGTCAGGTGCGCCCAGCGCGCCAGGTGCGCGCGCGGCGCGCCAGGTGCGTCAGGTGCGCCAGGTGCGCCAGGCGCGCCAGGCGCGCCAGGTGCGCCAGGTGCGCCACGCGCGCCAAGTGAGCCAGGTGCGCCAGGTGTGCGCCAGGTGTGCGCCAGGTGCGCCTAGCGCGCCAGGTGCGCCATGTGCGCCAGGTGCGCCAGGTGTGCCAAGTGCGCCAGGCGCGCAAGATGCGCAAGGTGCGCCAGGTGCGCCAGGTGTGCGCCAGGTGCGCGCCAGGCGCGCCAGGTGCGACAGGTGCACCAGGTGCGCCAGGCGCGCCAGTTGCGCCATGCGCGCCAGGCGCGCCAGGTGCGCCAGGTGCGCCAGGTGTGCCAAGTGCGTCAGGTGCGCACGGCGCGCCAGGTGCACAAGGTGCGCGCCAGGTGCCCCCAGCGCGCCAGGTGCGCCAGGTGCGCCCAGCGCGTCAGGTGCGCGCCAGGTGCGCGCCAGGTGCACGCCAGGCGCGCGCCTGGTGCGCCAGGTGTGCGCCAGGTGTGCGCCAGGTGCGCGCCAGGTGCGCCAGGTGCGCCAGGTGCGCCAGGTGTGCCAGGTGCGCCAGTTGCGCCAGGCGCGCCAAGTGAGCCAGGTGCGCCATGTGCGCCAGGTGCGACAGGTGCGCCAGGTGCGCCAGGTGCGCCAGGTGCGCCCAGCGCGCCAGGTGTGCCAAGTGCGCCAGATGCACCAAGTGTGCCAGGTGTGCGCCAGGTGTGCGCCAGGTGCGCGCCAGGTGCGCCAGGTGCGCCAGTTGCACCAGGCGCGCCAGGCGCGCCAGGTGCGCCAGGTGCGCCAGGTGCGTCAGGTACGCCCAGCGCGCCAGGTGCGCCAGGTGCGGCCAGGTGCGCCCAGCGCGTCAGGTGCGTCAGGTGCGCCCAGCGCGCCAAGTGCGCGCCAGGTGCGCGCGAGGTGCGCGCCAGGTGCGCCAGGTGCCCCAGATGCGCCAGGTGCGCCAGGTGCGACAGGTGCGACAGGTGCGCCAGGTGCGCCAGGTGCGCCAGGTGCGCGCCAGGTGCGCCCAGCGCGTCAGGTGCGTCAGGTGCGCCCAGCGCGCCAGGTGCGCGTCAGGTGCGCGCCAGGTGCGCCAGGTGCGCGCCAGGTGCGTCAAGGGGACAGGGAGGCCTCAAAGTGGTCTGCGTAGGACGTACCTCCGCTGGGCCCCCCAGGAACCCACGAAAGTGGCGACGGCTGCGCAGATGGCAGCCCCGCAGGGGACAGGGAGGCCTCAAAGTGGTCTGCGTAAGACGTACCTCCGCTGGGCCCCCCAGGAACCCACGAAAGTGGCGACAGTTGCGCAGATCGCAGCCCCGCAGGGGACAGGGAGGCCTCAAAGTGGTCTGCGTAAGACGTACCTCCGCTGGGCCTCCCGGGAACCCACGACAGTGGCGACAGTTGCGCAGATCGCAGCCCCGC